TAAAATTGCACAAAGTTTCCTGTGAGGGGTAGGTTTAGGGGTAGGGTTGGTGTAGGGCAGTAGCACATACAGTTTGTACAGTATAAAAACCATTACGCCTATGGAATGTCCCCATAACGTGATGAATACACAACATGTGTGTGTGTGTGAGTGTGAGTGTGAGTGTGTGTGTGTGTGTGTGTGTGTGTGTGTGTGTGTGAGGAAGGGCAGATCCGGCTCGCTTGTTTCTCGGCTAATCTTCCTCTTTTTTTCCCCATTGACCATACTGCTAATAAATAATGCATGCGTCTCTGTGTGTCCGACCTCTCTCTCTCTCTCTCTCTCTCTCTGGCAGTCTGTTATTCTCTTTCTTACTCTCTCGTTTCAGATTTTCTTCCTTTCTTTGTTGCCCTTCCCCCACTTTATTTCAATCCATGCCTTTGGAAAACCATTCCTGGAGGATTTGCAAGTGTATGTGCCAGAAATCAGAGATCATGGAAGGACGCTGCCTTTATCAAGAGCCCAAAGCGTGTGTTTGTGTGTGTGTGTGTGTGTGTGTGTGTGTGTGAATGAGGAAATCGACCAGCTCAGAAACACACCGTCCCACTGCAAACCCAACAAACTACATCCACTGAAGGCTGAGCGATAAATAGATATTCATCAATGATACTGATATAAACTTGAGAGATATTTAGCCTAAATATATACTGTATAAAATGTTTTTTCAAATGATATGGAAAAACATATTTTAATAAAAGAAGAATAAAATAATTAAAATAAGAATAAGATAACTAGAGGTAAGGCATTAGGTTCATACCTCTGAGTATCGTAAAAATAGCAACATTCTTTTAATCAGTAAATTTTTACTTGTACGTTCATGTAAAATGTCAAAGCACATGTATTTGCTCAGTTACATCTCGTCTCGACAGACAGTCAGAAATGATCATCTATTGAATATTCCCTTTAACTCTCAAACTAATTCATTAAATGTTGAACCAGTGAAACGTGCCCATCCCGCTCAAAAGACCTTCTTCACTTCTCTCTCTAGGCTTGGGTCAAAGATATGAGGCTCATTTAATACATTTATTATTAACTGATTCAAAAATGCATTAAAAATGCAATTCATACAGACATTGAGTTAAATACACCTCTAATTGATTTTTTTTTCTCTTGGGCATCAAAAAGTCAAAAGATGATGATGATAATAATTATTACATAATATATTATATAATAATAAAAAATAAATAAATAAAACAAATAAAAGCTGAAATTCAAATAATATTTTTTCAATAATATTCCAAATAATTATTGTTTCTTAAAAATTTTGCTTCAAAATATTATTGTTGTTTTAGCATTTTTGTTTAGTATTATTAGCATTTATTAATATTTTGAACTTCTGTTCTTTCAAGGCTTTTGTTATATTTTAATTTTTAGTGTAAGTTTTAGTGATGTTTTATGTGCTTTTGTCATTTATTTATTTAACAAACATTTTTTTGTTTAGCTTTAATTAATTTTTATTTCAGTTTTAGTAATTTAATAATTTCAGTACTTTTTAATTTTTTCAGTTAGTCACCAAGACAAAGTTTATTTGTTTGTTTGCTTTCTTTTTAGTTTAAGTTTTTCCACCTAATATTTATAAATATATTTTATTTAAGATTCATTTGAATTGAGAAAAGAAAAACTTTTTTAAAAGTTCTAGTTTGAAATAAACAATAAAACTGACATGCAGGAAATCCCTTTTTACCAGGAAATCTTAAGGAAACATGTTTGAAAACCATAATTTTTGCAATTCCATGTGGTGGTGCTAGTGAGACAGAAATGACACATTAAAACTTAAAGATGTTAAAGTTGATCAAGTTGCTTTTTGGACTGCAATTAATATTTGTCAAGTATATATAATCAGTTCTTTGGACAAAAACCATCCATTTACATCCCTGCAAGACGAGAAAGTGAATCTGAGCGGTGAAGGTTAGATGTGTTGAAGAGCGTCTCTGACTGATTAAGCACACACACACACACACACTCACTCACTCACTCACTCACACACACACACACACACTCACTCACACACACTCCGAGCTGACGTTTTAATACGGCTGTGAGTGTTTGCACGTCTCAGAAAAGATTTCCAATCGCTTTAATGAACACACTTGGATTACTTTCCATTTTCTTAAAAGTGCAAATTTAATTAAAAGTGAGGATTTAAAGTGCACTGAAAAGTTTCCAGTCATTAAATGCGCAGGAATGCTGTGTTTTGGCCAGGACTCCAGCACGTCAGCGCTGTTCATTTTCATTTTAATGACCTCCATCACTGCTATGAAAGCCAATAAAGTGCTCCTCACTAGTGACAGCTTTATAGTGAAGGCAGTGGATTAAACCTTTCAACTAAACAGCTTGTTAAAATCAAGTTCTGCTCAGTTAGAGTCACCAAACACCACTGAAAAATAATCACGGTTTCACAAACTCGATTGTCATTGGCCAGGCAGACAGAAAGTCCCGCCCCAAACTCACGGGATTGGTTGAGTCAGAAGTTGACATGGCTATGCCTGTGACTTGAAATCACACCAACATTTCTTTTTTCCAGGAATGAAAATACTGTTAAAATTTAATGTTTAAAATATGAATGATTTTTTCCCCCCTGTTGAACATAAAATAACATTAATGCTGCTCTTTTCTTTAATATGAAAGTGAATAGAGATGGACACTGTCAAAAACAACAACAAAAACTAATAAAAATGTGAAATTTGCCTTGGCACTTGAAATAAGTAAGTTTAAGTTGAAGTACTAAAATGACTAAAACAAAAACTGAAACAAAAATACATTTAAAACTGAAATGAAAAAGAAAGCTAGATATAAATAGCTAAATATAAATATTTTAAAAAAGACAAACTAATAAGTAAATCACAAAAGCACCTAAAGTTACTAAAACTAAAAATAAATAAATCTAAAGCTGAAATAAAGTTAAATAAATAAAAAATGAGAAATGTTGCCTTGAAAATGTTGACGTAACTCTAAAACTGAAATTAAATTAAATTTAAAAACTAAAAAAGTAAATTAAAGCTAAATATAAACATCAAAAATAAAAATGACAAAAGCTCATAACAATACTACTAAAACTAAAATTAAAATGAAAACTGAGAATATAAAAAATTTAAATCAATTTCAAAGCTCAAATATAGTCAAATGAAATAAAATACAAATATTAAATTAAAAACTTTAACTTGCTTTAAACAGTATTTTTTTTAATAGAACAAATGCCTGCATCTCTGTTGTTCAATATTTAAGCAGAAATACAGCAAAATGTCACTAAAATGCCTTGGTAACTAAGTTTGAGTACTAAAACTACTAAAAGTAAAACTGAAATAAAAATACATTATACATACATAGAAATATTTTTCATAATCAACACGAAATAACATTCACACTGTTTATTCATATGACTAGAGCACTATATTTATGTCATATGATGCTCTGTGTGAGGATCAGACCCACATTCATGTCATTATTAGTTGTTTTGGTGAGTAACTGATTGTGATTTCTGCGGGACGCTTCGCTCTCGTCTCAGAGCAGGTTGTTTGAGTTAACACAGCGCTTGCTCCCGGGTTAAAGATTCATTTTGGATCAATCATAATAAAGCCGTACACACACA